CTGGGTGTCATCTCCTACATCCTGTGAGTGACCACTGGGACAGCTCAACTCCTACCTGCTGGGTTGGGGAGGGGTGGACACCCGGGTGATTCATCTGTGGGTGCCAGGCTGTGTGGGTACCCCCCCTTCTACGATGAGAGCGACCCTGAACTCTTCAGCCAGATTCTGAGGGCCAGCTACGAATTTGATTCTCCCTTTTGGGATGACATCTCAGAATCAGGTGAGTGCAAGGCTGGCCCTGTGCTGGGGAGTGACAAAGGGTACCAGGGACAGGGCAGACTGACCTTGCTTTCTGCTCCAGCCAAAGATTTCATCAGGCACCTGCTGGAGCGTGATCCCCAGAAGAGATTCACCTGTCAACAGGCCTTACAGCATCTTTGGTGAGTAGGATGCCTTGCAGGTGGTACAGGAGCAGGAGTGACACATGTGCCAACTTGCAACCTTTCTCTAGGATATCTGGGGATGCAGCCTTGGACAAGGACATCCTGGGTTCTGTCAGTGAGCAGATCCAGAAGAATTTTGCCCGGACTCACTGGAAGGTGAGCAGAGAGAGAGAGAGAGAGAGAGAGAGAGAGAGAGAGAGAGAGACTACCATGCTCCTGTTTCAGGGTGTGGCTACTGATGTCTTGATGCTGGTATTGGAATTGTTCTTATTGATGGGTCCAGCTTGACCTGACCCCATTCTCTTCCCATAGAGAGCATTCAACGCCACATCGTTTTTACGCCACATCCGTAAGCTGGGGCAGAGCCCAGAGGGTGAGGAGGCCTCCCGGCAGGGTATGACCCGTCACAGTCACCCAGTCCTTGGGACTAGCCAGTCCCCTCAGTGGTGACAACAAGGTGTGTAGGCCCTGCATCCTCTGGGAACTGCCTTTTAGGGAGCCTATGGGATGGCAATGAACTAAGTGGGGTCTGGAGGGTCAAGGTCAGAGAGTGTCAGAGAAGGAGAAGCTGGGCAGAGGGTTATAGCAGACATCTTATGCTACTGGGATAGGGGCATGACCTCTGGAGTCTCTATGAAAGGAAAGCCAAGGCTTGAGTAAGATGCTAGGAAGGGTCCAGGAAGGCTGGGCACCTCTTGAACCTGTTTTCTTGATCTTCCTTTTTTCCCCTCCACCCAAGGAGGATGCCAAAGAAGACCAAGTGGACTGACTTCCTGCTTTTCTTTTCTCCAGCCCTTTTGGTCTCCTTTCCTGCCCGTTGTACCCCAGCCTGGCCTCTGCTGGAAAGTTTGAGACTGTGGGTGTGCTGCATGGCTCTGGGGTAGGGGGCTTCCCCAGTGTATCCCCCAGCCCCTACCCTCACCTATAGTGGAGGCTCCCCTTCCCATGTTGCTGTCACACTCTATAGAAACTGAGGTATTTGCAAGTGGATTTGGGGGCCATCCTTCCTGCACCTTGCACGCACACATGCATCACATGGCTGTTCTGTGCTTTGCTGACTGTGGGTGGTCCTGCTTGTATTGTATCCCTTCAGTTTCTTCTCCTCCCAACCAATAAAGACAAACAGAGCAATGCCTTGGTGCTGAACTGAGTCTGGGATGAGTGTGGGATTGTGGGTCATCTCAAGGAAGGACATGAAGTAACCAAGTCCACTGACAGTGGATCTGCAGTGGGTCTTATGCTCTGTCTCCTGTACCTCTCCTTGCTGGGATCGTGGCACAGGCACTCTGGGTTGTTCAAGGAATTCCTGATTCTGTTCCCCAGAGTGCTGCCTGCAAGAGGTTGCCTGGCTGCCTGATTGCCCTGGGTCTGGTAGAAAATGGATGCCAGCAAGGGTTACTGGGCTGCCAGCAGGGGGCGATGGCAGGAGACATAATTCACCACCAGCAGCATCTGCTCAAAATCCCAAGGGCTGGAAAGGTCTTGAGCCTGTAGGGAATGTGACCACAATTCAGGATACTTTCCTTTACCGGTGCTTCTAGTGTGATGAGCTGAGGGCTGTCCTCTGCTTCTAGTTGCCCTAGCCCCACTTATCAGTGGACCAGGGCTCCAAAAGCCTGCCATGTTGGGTCCAGC